GCACACCCGCTCAAGAGCATCCGCTCAGCACTGTATCCAAGTGTGGCAGTTGGTAAGCACACCCGCTCAAAAGCACCCGCCCAACACTGTACCCAAGTGTAGCAATTGGCAAGCACACGCGCTCAAAGCACCCGCTCAGCAGCCTACTTGTGTGTGGCAATTGGTAAGCACACCCGCTCAAGCGTATCTAAGTGTGGCAAGTGGTAAGCACACCTGCACGCCCCCGTGTCAGAGCTGTATCCGCCGCGACCACTGTTAAGCACACGCGTCCACACGCACTCATGTCAGAGCTGTGTCCCAGCATGACCAACCACTGTCAAGCACACGCGCCCACGCGCACCCATGTCAGACCTGTATCCACCATGACCACTGTTAAGCACGCGCGCCCACGCGCACTCATGTCTCATTTTTGCACTCTTTTTTTTTGGGGGGGGGAGGGGGGGGGGAACAAGGGTTGGTTGACAGTTCCACGCTTTGGAACCAAGCGCCCATCGACAGTTCCACGACGGCGAACGGCTCCGATGCCTTGTTGTTGTTGCTGCAACTGTTGCTGTTGCTGTTGCTGTTGCTGTTGCTGTTGCTGTTGCTGTTGCTGTTGCTGTTGCTGTTGGTTGGTTGGCTGGTTGGTCGGTGGGTTGGTTGTTGTCGTTGCGTTGGCAGCTCTGGCTCGAAAGTCGAAACTTTTGAAGTACAAGCGGTACGCTAAGTACACTTTTGCAGCTCCGGCTTGAAAGTCGCAGCTTTAGTACAAGAGTAGCACACGAAGTACGCATGACGGCCTCGCATCGCTCATGTCTTACCACTTGGTGTCGCTGTAGTTGTGCGTCCTTATCGTTTTGCAGGGCTTCTTTCACTTTGTGTAAGAAAAGGACCGGCCCGATACTAAAGTAGCATTCACCCGTTTTTACTCACCACCACCACCATCAACACCACCACTAGAAGCAAACAGAGCTTGGGGGTTATGGGATCAAGCTGGCAAGGCAGCGCTGAGGCCCCACGCCGAGCGGCGGCTCTTAGTTTCGAATTCGCTGCGCTGCCTTGGAGCGGCAGCCCACTGAAGTCGCAAAGAAACTGCCGGTCAAGGGGGCAATGTCTTCAACTATCTTGGCCCATTTGCTTTGCTGAGCAACACGCCCTTTGACGGGTAAGCTGGGAGAAAAACTAAACCGGGTCGCCAAAATACTCCAAGCCTGCAGAATGGTTTCGATCCTCGCAGCGATGCGAGCCAGCCGGTGCACCTAAGCCAGGAATCTTGCACTAACCCAGTTGGCAAGCAGCTTGACAACCCCATGCATCCATCATAGTTCAGCCCCTCTCTGACCATAAAAGGCTTTCTGGCTTCATACTGGGCTCCATCGTGATTCAACTCCCTGCTGTGTGCGCCACCCAGGATGGGATGCGGCCCACACCTCGGACTCACAGGCAACGCAAGCAAGCAACCAAAACTCTGATCTGCGCAGGAACCAGGCCTTCTCTGGGGAAATCCGTTTGATGAAATTGATGAAAAGAACCAAGACTTGATGAAAATCAAAACCGCCCCTTCACGCCACCCGTGCGCTATCCTCGCGCAATCCTTCCTGAGGCGCGCCGCCTAGGCGCCGGCAGAAGTCGTCGGCGAAGTGGCAGCAGTTCCTCGCGGAGAAAAAGCGCGGCGCGGCCGCCTGAAGGAACCTTTGGCGAGACCCAAAGTTTCAGCGAGTTCCCCGCTTTCAGCTATGTCCAAAGTTTTGTTGGCTCCAATTTCAGCAAGTTCCACAGTTTCCCAAATCGACTTGGCTGAATCATGATTCCCGGCCATTTAGCCAGAGGCTTGTCCACCCGGCGCGCGCCTTCTGAGCAGGTCGTATTCCGGCCCGGGGTACCTGACAGAATTGGCACATGTTGAACAAACTTCGGCTGCATCGGTGTGAGGGTATCTGGTTCAACCAGCATTTCAATTTCTGGAAAGAAATGATTAGCTTCCAATACCTGCTGCCCTGGCCACTCCGTCGTGAGCTCTTGCAGAAGCTTGCAAATTTCGCCGGCCTCTGCCAAGCCAAAGGGGTGACTCAGAAATGATCAACTTATTTCAAAAGGCCCGTCACAGTCCAGTCTTTTTTGTTGCTTCTCCAGCCACGAATCTCTTCAGAACGGACACCAATCTGCGACCCTGTCCCCCAATCGCAATCTCAGGTTGCAGCTGACAAAGGCGTCTGCGACATGTTCACCGTTTGCCTGCCAAAGCCAGCCCTCAAGCTTCTTTGCAAAGTTGACAAAAAGAAAACAGAATAACTGTATACTCGTTGAAAAAGGGCACCGATTGCCTTGCAACCTGGCCTGTAGTGGTGATCCGGGTGCATCTTTGGCTTGTTTGCAAGCACGCCAGGGTCATCCTGAACATCCACTCGGCCCAGCAAAAACGGAACGTACGGGCACACAAGTCGCTAAGCGACTGCGCGCTAGGCTCGCTTCACGCGTCCTCGGACTCTGTACATCCATAGGACCACTCCCTCCCGTCCACCTGCGACCGAGCAAGGTTACAACGCTAGACACTTCGCAACTGGTTGTGGGTCAAAAATAGGGTAACCCCAAAATGGCTTGCCCTGGTAAACGGAAACATGGACTAAAATATGTGGTCCAATTTCTGGTGGTTTAATATTGACCCGCACCCAACTGAGATTGGCAAGTGCTGCGTCACCTCAAGTCCTTATGACAAGCCCAACCCGCCGACGCGCAAAGCGTTGCACCCTTTGTCCAAGCTAGCTGGTCTTTCCAAATCGAAATCGCACTCGGCGGATGCACAGCAGGAAGACCAGCACTGCCAGCGAGCCGCCCGCCTGAGTTCAAGATGGCCATGTTGAAACAAAACGGCCAGCCGGACATACTGGCAAGAAACCATCATTCCCTGCAATATCCATACTCGGGCGGCCTGCTGGCAGCTGTCAAGGGCCCAAATCAAGTAGCAGCCACACCCTGAGCCCTATGACTATTTGGCAGCCGCTATGTAAAGCTGCGTGTGGGTTGTGTGTACATATACAGTAGGTTGGAGCATCAGAGGCAACTGACAGCAGTCCTGGAGGCTGTGATTGTAAGACGGACATACTACGGGCCCTCAGGCTGTGCCAAAGGTAACTGCAGGCGGGCGGCCAACAAGGTTTGCATGGTGCGCGGGCTGTCGCCTCGTGAAAAGCGGCGATCATCCCGACATCCCGACACATCCGACACATCCCGCTGCCCTCATGGCGTCAGGGCTTCAAGTGGCAGCCACGGCGCCATCATCACCGGGCCAAGGGATGAAGCTCTCCATCCTCAAGTTGCAGCGCGGGATTCGCAGGTCGGAAGGGCACCCGGTCACCGGGCTACCTCCTCAGATTTGAAAGGTCACGCAAGGATTTGTTCCAAAGCCTACATGTGATTATATACACCCATGTGTATAAACGTCTGTAAAAACTTATGTATGGTATGGTATGGTATGGCATGGCATGGCATGGCATGGCATGGCATGGCATGGTATGGTATGGTTTGTTATGGTATGGTATGTGGTATGTGGTATGTGGCATGTGGCATGTGGCATGTGGCATGTGGTATGGTTTGGTATGGTGCATGGTATGGTATGGTGCATGGCATGGCATGGCATGGCATGGCATGGCATGGCATGGCATGGCATGGTATGGTATGGTATGGTTTATGGTATGGTATGTGGTATGTGGTATGTGGTAGGTGGTATGTGGTATGTGGCATGTGGCATGTGGCATGTGGCATGTGGCATGTGGCATGTGGTATGGCATGGCATGGTATGGTATGGTATGGTATGGTTTGTTATGGTATGGTATGTTGTATGTGGTATGTGGTATGTGGTATGTGGCATGTGGCATGTGGTATGGTTTGGTATGGTGCATGGTATGGTATGGTGCATGGCGTGGCGTGGCATGGCATGGCATGGCATGGCATGGTATGGTATGGTATGGTTTGTTATGGTATGGTATGCGGTATGTGGTATGTGGTATGTGGCATGTGGCATGTGGCATGTGGCATGTGGCATGTGGTATGGTTTGGTATGGTGCATGGTATGGTATGGTGCATGGCATGGCATGGCATGGCATGGAATGGTATGGTATGGTTTGTTATGGTATGGTATGTTGTATGTGGTATGTGGTATGTGGCATGTGGCATGTGGCATGTGGCATGTGGCATGTGGTATGGTTTGGTATGGTGCCTGGTATGGTATGGTGCATGGCATGGCATGGCATGGCATGGCATGGTATGGTACGGTATGGCATGGTATTGTATGCTATGCTATGCTATGCTATGCTATGCTATGCTATGCTATGCTATGCATGTATTAATGTATTCATGTCATGCAATGTCATGTGATGTGATGTGATGTGTTGCATGTTTGTATGTAATGCTTTTTAATGCATGCATGCATGCATGTATCCAAATGTATGTGGCTCCCTACCCGCTGTGATACATTCCCAAGTCTCCTCAGCACTGAGGCCGAGGCCCGGTCCACAGTGCCGGCTTCCGTTGGGCAACCTCAATGGCAAAGAATCTGCAAACTTTACAATCAAGCTATTGGTTCAGACCTCTGGGGAAAGGTCAAGAGGGCAAACTATGGGTGAAGTGTGCAGTTCAATCTGAATCTTATTTGCGATCTGCAAACACTTTACACGAATTCCAAGTTCGGAAATAAGAATTGGATACCAAGGACCGACATCATAAGCTCGCTTTGAAACTTTGACCCCAAGCTCGCAACGAATGCCAAGAAGGCCGAAAGAACGCCGAACGCCAGAGACTTCCAAAGGAAAGCCGTACAAGGCCTCCGCGCGGGACTTCCAAAGGCGGGACGTCTCAAAGGGTGAGGGTTCCCGGGGACCCCGGCCGCACCAAGCTCCGTGGCTTTGACCCTCTCGGACCTCGGATGTGTGGACTGGGTCCTGTGGAGAGGATAGATAAGTTGGTACCGTAGCTTTTTGCTGTAGTCTATTGATGAGTCTATTGTAGGGGCTTGCCCTCCCAACCAAAAAAGGGGAGAGAAGGGCAGTCACTACTGGGGGACCTAGGTAAAAAGTGGAAGACTTTCCTTTGACCAGCGACACCAGAGGCCGGTCGGCAACCTTGACTCAGCCCTTCTGGCCCGGCCCAACGTTCTGGTGTAAGACACCAGAGGCGGTCTTGGCTGACTTGGCAGCCGTTCGATTCTAGTGCTCTCCCCTTTGAAAGCAGGCAACCGCACGGCAACATGCGCAGGTACACTCCCAGCTCCCGTTGCCCTTTTGACACCTTCACTCATCCAAAGCCCCCAAATCGTCGCGCCCACATTCCAGCCAATTTTGTCCCAGATGCTCCTGGCTCGGCTCAGACACCTGGCGACGTGAGGCTTCGCGCTGGCGAGACTTTGCTATCGAACTGCATGCCAGCTCAAATGACCAAGATGCTTCTGCAAAAATAGAAAAGGGCCCCACACGGACTGGCAGCTTTCTTGGTGGACGTCACTTTTTTCCAGGCATTTTCAATTCATGTCCACCAATATCCACCAGGTTCACTATATTTCCATCCCACAGCCACACACAGCATGAATCCTAACCATCACGATTGTATTCCGACCACGGGAGTTTCCAGACTCGAGGCCTCAACGTCCATCGACAGCATCGGAGAGGCCTCCGACGGGATCCATCTGCAAGATGTTGTCAGCTTTCCTCTGATTGGTCGTTTGCATCGGTGGTTTGGCACAGTTGCCCTCCGCAAGAACCAGCAGTAATTCTGAAACCACCAGTCCAAACCACCAATTCAAGGTAACCTGGGGTATGTAACATGGGTAATGTAGATTCCATTCCTTACGCGCGCATACGCGGGTCCGTTCCTTTCCAAGGCCCCGGCTCGGCGCTTGCCTCGGTCTTGGCTCGTCGCCTCGTTGGCCTTCGAGAAATCGGACCCCCAAAGTTCGGCAGAGACCTCTGATCCTTCCATTTGCTCCAGCAGTGATGAATTTATTTCAAGACCAAGAAGGGAAATACAACATATTCTTGAGCAAATGGAGGGATATGTCAAGCTCTCCCTGATGAACCCGAGTCTAGAAAACGGTTTGGATGTGACTTTTGCGGATCCACCCCTGTAGAATATTCAAAGAGTACCCAAAGAGTACTAGAAAAGGACGAACAGGGAGAAGACAAGGTGATTTTCACAAAAAGCGCATCCAACCCGTTTTCTAGACTGAGGGCCCCTTTCCACATCAACGCACGGGCAAACACATGAATTGGGCTAGGGGGACCCTTTACTCGACACGTATATGGAAACTTCTGTCCACCAAGCATGGTGTTCCATCGACAAATCACATCTGATTTCATTCAGAATCATTTCAAAACAGGGGACTCCCCAAAAAAAACGACTCCCTACGGTTCCCCTTGGCTTCCCTTTGAAACCGACCTGAAACGAGCAACACCGGGCCACGCATCCGCGCGCCTCCGCCTCCGGCTCCGCTGCCGGATCCGCCTGCGCCACGAGCGCCTGGCGCGGCTCCTCCGAGAGCAGCAGCAGCTCGTGGCCGCCCAAGCCCTGCGCTGACGGAAGCGGGCGGTTTGAGGCGCGGTTTGAGGCGAGGGCGCGCTGGTTGGGGCGAAACGGGGAAAAAAGCGGCCGGCCGAAAGAAAATGGCAGAAGGACCGCCCCTCGACGTTCGGGAGTTTGAAATTTCGGAAAATGCCTCAAAAAGGGGTACTGCCGAAAGAACGTTGAGTTTGAACAACACCGCGGAAAGAGACGACGGCAAAAAAAAGGAAAGGCCTTGGGTCTTGCAAAGAACGCATGCGTTTTGACTACTCTGGCGCGTTGAAACGACGGAACGCTGGTGCTCCATCGCATGCTTGCAAAATCCAGGCCCCGCCTCAAGGCGAAGTTTGAGAACACGAGGCTCCCTTCGAGAGCGGTTCTCCGTCTGCCTCGGCATGACCCTCAACATGCAATTGGTTGGGCCCTTGGCCCTTTGATGCGGCATCACAGAAAGAACAAAAATCAGCCATGTGATTACATCGTACTAGCAGGTCAGCATGTTCCATACCGATACCCTGTCAAGAACACGACTGGCCACTCCGCCTCAAACGGACAACCCTTGTTCATGCCTGGCATGTCTCCTATGTACAGGACCGGCAAACAGGAGCCAAGTTGCCAGAGGTCCCGAACGAGCATTGCGCCCTGTGCAGGCCCCCGCCCCCAAGAGACCAAGAGACCAAACAAAGGGCTGGTTCTCTCAGATGTTGTCAGATGCGGTCCGGCAGCTCAAGCAATCGCAACATAACTTCCGTGGCCCATGCGGTCCTTCCAATTTGCCAGCGTTTCCAGAGGCAGCGTGAGCTTGGCTTTCTTCCGGCCGAAGTTCACAGCTGCAAGGGCCACCTCGCCAGTACCTCATTTTCACGACATCAAAGTCACTAGAATTGCTGTTGCCGGTTTTCGGCTGAGGGTCCTTCATCAAAGTCAATATTCAGATAAATCCGGACCATAATCCTGGATACAAATCGCGCC